CTACTCCACACCTAGGCATCTATTTGAAAACTTAAATCTGGCTTCATATCATCTAGCATCCATGGTAGTTATCTCTTTCCACATTATGTGAGAATACATCAATTTTCAGAATGTAAGCACTGAAAAATAAATATTCATGAAGCTCTCCAGTAATGACCAGAAAATAATAATATTCGGCTAAAATTTTGACATCTACCCTAAAAAAAATAATTTTATTAACATATGAAAGTGACCCCAGCTTTAAATGGGCTTCTTCTAACTTAATATTAAAATATATGACCTAACCTCCTTCTCTGTAATAACTAATTAAAACTGCTGTATTATTCATGTGTTGCAGATACTAAGAAGAACTCTTATGTGACCCCTAAGGAAGAAGTTCCTGTAATAAAAATATTATTCTAACATTTTAAATGTCATTTCTCTTATAATTCAAAATAACATCACATATTTTAATGCATTTTCAATAATATTCAGAGTTGCATAAAATGTCTTTTACATGTCATTGGCTTTGCTCTACAAAAAAACAATTGATAAAAGAGGCACTACTACATAATGGAAACCAATATCCTATTATCAGCAACAAGGAAACAGTCAAGTGAATGTAAGTAAATACATACTGTTTCTTTAACTAGACTTTGTTATGTCAAATCTCAAAATCTTACATCTTTGCTTGTCAAGAAAAATTTTCTACAGATCTTGGACTATTTTGAGGGTTTTTTTAATTTTTTTTATCCACGTTTGATGCTAAACTGTTCCAATCTTTTCGTCTATTAAATAAATCTCCCCACTGAAAAGCAGTTTCTATAAAAGGAGTCTTTTTTAGAAGAGTACTTGGAAATTATAAAAATACTTGAAGCAGTGTCTCCTTAGAATTTTGATCATCTTCCTCCTGAGTTAAGGTAAAATAAAAGAGGACTTATATCGCCGAAGATAAAAGGAGATTTATTTTTTGCCTGATCTGTAACATCCAAATGGTAAAGAACTCATCTGCTTTTTAAATATCCACATGCAATTATTATCTCTGCAGCTCCAGTGTCCATGCAATAATAATCAAGCACTAATCAATAAAAATTACATAGAGTCCAAAAAGGAAAGTTTGTTCCTGTGTAAGCATTAAGCTACAACTTTCATTGCAGGCATTTTTCACACGCTCTTGCTTCATTCAGAGAACAGAATAGATTACGTTCTAAGTAAGTAGCTGACAACATAATAATAAGTCTCAAATCATAGAGTGAGAAAAAGGTCTGAAAGGTGTAAAGGGCTAACTTCTTTATATCTGTAACTTTTTTTAACAATTGAAGTAGAAAAAAAACCCCATGCTTGTTAATACTTCTCATTATGCAATTTGGAGTGTGTTAGACTAGATAATGAAACTGAATAGTATGACCATGAATCACTTTCTTCTTTATTTCTTTCTTTTTCTTCAAAGCTGCTATTTCAGTGCTAATTAACGTTACGATCAACTCAGGCCTTACAGTAATTCTGTACTTGGAAAATAAGAAAATATATTTGAAGAATCAATAATATTTCAGGTAGACCTCTGATGTAGTGCCTTCGCATATGCAAACAATCCTGGTGCACATGTTCTATAAATTACTTATAAACAAATAAATGGCTGAATGGCAGGTCTCAAAGGGTTGTGATCCACAGCATAAGGTCTAGTTGGAGGCCAGTCACTAGTGGTGTTCCCCTAGGGTCTATACTGGGTTTAGTATTGTTTAGATTATCAATCAATGATGATCAACTTGGATGAAGGAATAGAGTGCCTTCTCAGAAAATTCACGGATTATTCAAAGTTGGAAGGGTAGTGGATCCCCCCAAGCGCTGTCCAGCCATCCTGAGGGATCTCAACAGGCTGGAGAGATGCTTCACATCAGTCTGCATCTGCCTGCAGCAGTGCAGCAAATGGTCAAAACTGTACAGTGTTTCTGTTATTTGGTGCAGAATTGACAAGGCTGGTTGAGAAGAACACGGCCTGAGCCACTCCCTCATCTTGCACTGAGCTCAAGAAAGGCCCAATGGCTGAAGGGTGTCTGCAATGAAGCAAAGGTCTCATGGCCCCATGTTGTTTCAGTGAGGCACAGAAGAGCCTCAATTTATCCTAAATTTCTGTACTCTTAATGCAACAAACAGGCCTGGGGGAGTGGGGGTTGTTAACAGCTTAGGAACAAGGAAATAGCCCAACAAGCTCCCGGCCTTTCCAGTGAGCCCTCTCTCTTGCAGGGTTCCGGGCTCCCCCGCACTCACCAGGCCACCTCTGCATCCTCCCACTCCCCCAGCCTGGAGAAGGACTGCACCCTCTCATCTCCACATTCCTCCCGCCCCAGGCTGAGCCTTTTCCCTTTTCCTCATACAACACACACTGCCCACAAAAACTAAAAGGCTTGGGCCTTTAGGATTTTTTTCCCACAAAATAAATGACTACAGTGTGACAAAAATAACAAGTGCTTCTGATTGATAAAAAACAATAGTTTTATTTCCAGCTAATAGAAGAACAGTTTGTCTACCAGCAGAGTCCAATAGTCAGACTTGAATACAATTACATACAGGAAAAATTGAAGTATAACCAACAAGACAAACATTTATACAAGGAAAAATATTTTTATATCACCTGTAAGTTTTTGCCCACGTGAAACATCACTGGAACTCAAATATATATCTTTAAAGATTCATTTTCTTCTGAAATCCAGTTCAGTCTGTTTTGAGAAATAGAAGTCCTGATATATAAATGGAATGGTATTGTCTGTGAGTGAAATTCTTTCTGCAGGTTAGGCAAGAGTTGGCATTCTCAAGGGCATTACAGATGGCACTGACTGCAGAAGACATGGCCACATATGGTTGAAAGAATTGGTTGTCCACTTTGTGCAATCTGAAAGAAAGAAGACCACAACAGTGATTGGAAGTAGAGAATTCAAGTTTTCTGTTCTCTTGGCAGCAGGGAAACAGGACTTGTAGTACCCAGAATACATCCTTTACTGTAATAATAAGAAACCCAAAGATCTTTTAGTGCCATCTTGGCAAGAGTTTCTCCCTACTCATACGCCACCAAGAAGTGACTTTGAGTGACAAGCTAGTTTCAGCTTCAAAGCAAAGTCTACGTTTCAAGACAGCTGTCTTAGCATCTGACATAAGCCAGATGAGTTGTAGATCTTCCCCTCTGCCCTCTTCTCTCCCACAGAAAAAGACAGGATGATAACATGTGGATCCTTACCTCTGAGTAGCTATCCATGCAAATCAGATAGGTAACAGTAATAGATGGTCTTGCAGTAGAGAGAATAGAACCAGAAAGAACATGCAGCCATTAATTTCACCACACATCGAGGGTTACAAATACATAAAATGTTAGAAATTAATAACTTGATTACCCAGCACCTTTCTTTTCATTAGGAGGAAGATGCAGTTGCTCACACTGCTCTAGTGTTAGAAATAACAGTAATCTATAGCACTGTGCAGTATACATATGGCAGTATTAATCTCTGATGGGTTATCAAGAAGGGTTTTGTAACAAAAGCATCTACCTGTCTTTTGGAAACTATTCATTCTAGAAGGAAAAGAGGTTTTCAGAAATTCAAACATACCCTGTTGTAACTTAGCAACATCCCAGCCCAGTAATACAAACAGAGAGCTCAGTCTCATGTGAGGAAATACTCAAAAATCAATTTCTAGTTCCAAGATGAAGAGACCAACTCAGTGGCTATTCCCAAGCTGTGATTCCAGGTGTACCTCTGCTGCCTTCAGCCTCGGGACAACTGTATTGCATGCACACTTTTTAACAGATATAGCTATTCTGCCTAAGGAATATGTCATACCCAAAGTGCTGAATAGTATTCTCTATCAGAAAGAGAAAGACCTTGCTTTCCTTTTTATTTGCAAACTAGTCTCTATTTTAAACCATCACCATAAGCTGCTTTCAGAACTCTTTACCGCAAACACCTGACTTTATGACGTCCCCATGCATGCTAAACAAAAGGTTGCAATTTCCTAATTAAACAGTAATAGAAAGCACAAGATATCCTTTTTCACATAATCTGATGTTCAAGCAGTAAGCACTACTAATATCTTATCCTAGTTTCACCTACAGAATTTAGCTCCGCTAATTCCCCCATTTTTACTCCTCAAACTAGTTAGGCTGCAGCTCTAATACCACCACAGTAACAAACTGAAATTGGTAATAACCTGCATAGAAGCAAGACAAGTCTAACAGTCTAACACAACAGAGTAACACTGGAGATAGCTCTGATAATCCCCAGCACAAGGACCCTTCTGGACTTTTAATGCATCTCTTTCTTAAAACACAATTTTCATACTAGATTATTCCAGACTCACTGTAAAGACAGGCAAAACACAAATTTTTGAATATAGAAAAATTATCTTGTTTGCTTTCCTTTAATGTACTGGTGCTGCTTTTTTCAGCTACCTGTGGAATGTGGTCAAATAACCTGTGTGCAATATTTGATCATTTAGGTTATGAAAGGAAATATAAGTGACTGATTTGGAGTAATAGACATGTTACAGTTCAAATTAAAAAAAAAACAACAAATGTTTCTAAATGGAAAATATTACTTTAAAATATGAATTATTTGTGATAAGGGAGTATTGTTTAATTTATGATAAAATTATCTGTGACTACCTAAGACAGTTATACTCCTTCATTTTATTTATTTTTATTTATAGAGAGAAGGTATGAAAAAAAAAAGTCATGTCATTTTACAAGACTTAAAATGGCAATAATACATTTTCTTTTTTGGGGTTGGTGATGTCATTCAAATTTGAGAAGTCTAAGGTTTATGAAGATGTTACACTAACTTCTTTTCTCTCATTCCTCCAAAGTATATTTTTTCACGTTCTTTGTCAAGCCTCTCTTACTTGCTTTCAAATGAAAACAAGTCAATATACAACCTTGCAATATATAGAGCAATCTATTAGGCTTTAGAAAGTGCCTTGTGGCTGTCCAGAAATTGTCATGACAAATGGTCCAAAAAAAGTATAGCAGCCCAAACTAATGCAGCTCAAAGAAATGGTTTTAATAGTCATCACAGTTGAAAATGATAGACATATGAGTTCTTGTCTATAATGAAAATACAAACATATCTTTGTCTTTTATGAACAGAGGAAATGAGACTGCCATAGCTGAACAGATTATGCTTTATCATAAGGCTAAGTCAGTAATCAAAGCAGTTGAACTAACCCAAGTTAAAAAATACAGCACTAAAATGTTAGCTACAATAAAGATTCAAAACAACAGAGGTTGAACAACATATGATAAATTTTAACACAAACCAGTTCCTCAATATGTGACAGGGCAGTTTCAACCCACAAAGAAAGCCTCAAGTGTTGTACAGCCAAGTTTGAGAAGCTGGTAAGGCTGAAGCTGGGAAGCCCGTTCCATACAGTGCTATTAGTGGGAGTTTTGGATCTATCCAAGACCAGGGTTGGATTTGTTATTTTTGTTGTTCATACCTGCAGGAAAAGGCAAGTCTGTATGATACACATGCTCATGCTACTAAAGCTGACAACCACATATTGATTTCATAATTAATCTTTTGTGATAGAAACATCTTGAAGTATTTTTGAGTCTTTACATTTCATTTTCTAAGCTATAATGAAAGTCAATTTGATGTCAACAATTAATGAAACAATAAAATTCATATTTTCTGTACCTTTACAATTCAAGACCACTAAGAGTGCATGAGAGTACTACCTCTTCAGTAAGGCACTACCCTAGCTACGGCTGAAGTTGAGCAGAGTCTTAAAATATAAGAGTCCAGCAATATGCAACAGCTGTCTTAAGCACACTCTAGTCTTACTTGTGCTGTTACAGAGCTTCACAATACATAGTAGAACCCATGTTAAAATACCCAAAAAAATTGTTTTTCTAGTTACCATATTATCTTCACTTCTAATGACTGATCCGAGCAGGAATGGAAGTATTCATCTTTTTGCATCTACCAAGCAGTGTCTTGAAACAGTAATTTCATTATCTGAAATATATAAAGATTTGTTTACTCTTTCCTCATCTGACATTTCTGTAAGTGTTAATACATGAGTCTACTTAGCCCTCTGATAATGCCTACATAGCTGTGCATTTACAGCTACAACAGAAAAGTTATTAATGCCTCAAGATATTTCTTGCCCAACACTGGGGCTTGCAGAATTGCCTCAGTATTATTTAGTATTCAAATAAACAAAGGAACATGAGTGTCACACAATCTAGTAAACTTCTAATTGCTTCCTAGAACAAATCAAATATTGCTGCCGCTTCTGCAAATCAAGTGGTTATGGTGCTGTATAAGTACACTGCCTGTGCCTACAACACATTTGATTTTTATGTTTGATATTAAATCCTGCAGGTTTTATGGATGTCAAAATGGTAGTAGTGAAATCCCTCAACATGTAATGCAAACACCAGTTTAAGGTTAGTTGGCAAGTTCGATAGTTCAAGAAACTCTGACTGTGCCATCACATGTCAGACTTGTACTTTAAACACCCAACTGAAGTGTTCCTGAGGATGATGCAGTGCATGTCTTACACAGTACACACCTCTTAGAGTAATGAGGTTGAGAAGCTGCTTGCACTGGCTTATGTGATTTGTCTAACAGATGACCCCAATTTAATACTTCTACAAGGAATTTCCAACATGTTCATCAAGAAGATTTGGCAAAGTCCTATTATCCATCTTATTTTGAAAGCAAGACACCATCAGAAGACACAGAACAGGAACTGAAGTTTGCTTGACACAAAAATGGCTTTAACTGGAAATTGGTTCTGTGGAAATCTGATTATGTAGGAAATTATAAGAGCTAGAAAACTAGTTCTAGTTGTGATTTCTTCTGTTTGTTGCATCATACTTGTGTTTTAGAGAAGTCTAAACCTTTGAAAAAGTCAAAACATCTTTTCCATTCATAATCAGGGGATTTCAGAGCTTCTGAATAGCTCAGAAGTGAAATGAGTTTGAAAGACACTCAGAAAGACTAAGCCATTTCAGTAAATGATGCAGGATACAAAGACCTACTGAAATGAATTATGAACTACTGTGTAAATCCAACAGACATTAGAAGACATCAGAGATCTGTAATTGCCGATCTGAAATAAAGAATAACAGCTGATAAAAAGAGGAATGAATTATTTAAATATTCATATTGAGAGCATAAGAAATTAAAGGTCTTGTAGTAATACAAAGTCTTAAAGAAAAATGGAAGCCTGGTTTTAGAATTTCCATCAATATAATTAACAGCCTCTATTTTTTCCTTAAATTTACAACTTTCCATTACTCTTCTCAGCATTTATTTTTTCATTGCAAAGGAAGCTTTTAAAGTCACAGTTGCTCAACATTTGTGCTCATCAGTGCTCATCATTTGTGTGGAAGCATTGATGAAGTCAGGTTAGCAACATGCAGAAATTCCAGTGTTTCTCATAGCTCACCATTTCCTAAAAGTAAGTAATTGTAAACTGACTGAATCAATAAAAATAGTTTTCAACTTTAACAACAAAATAATATTTTCTGAAAATGTACCCTAGTGCATAATGCAAAGCAATTTCAAGATAATTTAATGAAACTAGCAGACCGCTTGCTCTGTGGCATACCTGCTGAGACAAAGTTAGAGAATCTGTGATGCAACATTACTGTTTATTCACATTTTCCCATGAGCCTTCTTTCTGGTGCAATTTGAGAGTAAGTCATTTAGTGATTCTGAATTTATTTGACCAGATGTTTTTTCATGTTTATTTTACCACTGGGGCTATGTAAACCTAAAATATGGCTGAGTAAAAAGCAATTCTATATATCAGAAGGTTCTGCATTTTACTGACAAGGTACATATTGCTGACTCATTCAGTTGTAACAAAAATCATTTGAATAGCATCTGAATTATTCTAAGCAGCTAGTATACAGAATACATTCATTATTAAGCTTATATGGCATAATTCAATTTTTATCTTTGGAAGCAAACATGCCATTTTGTTTCTTGGCTCAGAGAAAAGAAGTTCCTAAAGTTTTAGAATGTTGTCAGGAAACATTTGATACCACAAAAGTGCACATACCAATCTAAATTCTACTCCATCATATATTAAACTTGCCTTTCACATAAATTGCAAAGCAGTTTATTTTCCTCTCAGTACTAAAACAAAAAAAGCTTATTATTGCAAAGTATGACTAGAATAAATTGAAAAGTAAAAATTCATTAAATTTGCCAAGCAGAGTCAGCATGAATATATTTCTTTGTAAATGTCAGCATAACTGTAAAAATTCTTAAAAAAACTGTGACATCATTCTCATTTTTCATACTCCTGTGTGCACATTTGAAAGTAGCACGTGTATGTCTTCCTTATAGTGACCTATAATATGTAAAGCATAGTGCTTTGAAACAACTGCGGTAGAACTTTTTTTTTGGTAGGAGACAGGAAGTCATCTTTGAATTAAAAAGAGATTACTTGGTATTTTTTGAGTCACATACAAAGATCAATCTGCAGAATGTGGGGCAGTTGAAAAGGGAGTAATTTCCACTTTGCATGTAAGACTTTAAAAAATTTCCCCTTAGTAAACAACAGTTCTTTTGCTTCTGTAGTATTTATGAATCTGATTTTTTCTTTATATTGTGCTTATCTAAAATACAGTGCAGCACTCTTTTATGGCCTAAGAGGGAATTTAATTTCACTGAATCAGAAGCTAGAGTAGTTAAAAAATTATAATTTTGCATGCTGATAATGCATTTCTTTTGGAGTGTCTTTGTCCTTCACCGGAGAACGCTGACATAAATCTTTTAAATATAGTGAGAGTAACAGAAAAAAGTTTACAAAACCATTTTTCATCAAAGTAACATAACATGTCCACTAGAAAAACATGGTGTCCCCTTTTCCCTCTGGGTGTGTAAAGAACAAGGATAGCCATGAATAATGGAAGCACTCAGTAGTTCGTTCTCTGTGTGATAAATTTATAGTGACCATGGAGATATCTAAGGCATTTCCAGACTTATCTCTATGGAGCATAGCCTCAGACCAGTTACTGTCATTAATTTTCAAAAGAGAGAGGCTTTCTTCTGAAAATCTAAATGTAGTTTTGAGAAAGGAAATGCCATTCTTGCATCTGACAATGGACCTTTTATATCACAGAATCACAGAATCACAGAATCACAGAATCACAGAATCACAGAATCACAGAATGGGGAAGGTTGGAAGGAACCAGTGGAGGTCATGTAGTCCCATCTCCCTACTCAAACAGGGTCACTTAAAGCATGTTATTCAGAATTATGTCCAGACAGCTTTCGAATATCTCCAGAGAAGGAGACTCCACAACCTTTTCTGGGAAACCTGTTCCGCTGCTCAATCACTCTCACAGTAAAGAAGTTCTGCCTCATATTTAGGTGGAAATTCCTGTGTTCAAGTTTCTGCCCATTGCCTCTTGGCCTATTGCTTGGCACCACCAAGAAGAGCCTGGAAACTGACAGGTCATATTTTCTAGAAAGTCCAGATTGTTTTCCGCTTTACGTATGTGGCACTTACACTTTGCCTCATCTCTGGTGTTGTATTTTATCTTGATACTACAGTAGAATCAAAATGCAATTCCAGCACATGTCACTTGCATGCTGTGATTTGTTAAAGTGACTCCTCTGGACCAGCAGACATCAAAGGTTGCTGTTTCACTCTTCTAATACTTTATAAATTTTCTCAAAATTTCTGTAGAGGGCTCACTATTCACAAAAGCATTTACTTCCAGGAAATCAGAAGTGGCCCTGACCTAAACAGATTACACAGGCTACCTAACAATTTTCGTAAAATGGCTTTTGCTTTTCCTGCAATAAAGTTATGGGATATGCTTTGAACTATTCCGAAGCAATCTCTCTTATGTCCTTGACTGGTTTCAAAAGACAAATGCTTCACTATCTTTTTCTGAAATACCTCTGTGCAAGAATTTTGTTTTCAGTTTTCTCTCAATACTGTGATCATTGTTGAACGGTGCTATACACTATTTGGCATTTTGGGTTTTGTATGTAGCGATTCCCTTATCTCTTAGTTATCATACATGATTTAGACAGCTTTTGGTATTTTCACTGCAAAAAAAATTCAACCTTAAAACACTGGCTAATGTCTAACTAGATTTCTTTAAACTATAGAGAATTCTAATTTTAGAAGCACCATTATTTTTATTTTTACTTGTAAGGTTGACATGAAGACTTCAATGTAACACCAGTAACACTGTCTTTGGTGAATCATACTAATGCATTTGAGCTCCAAAATGTGACCGACAACTTAAATTTATGTTTGTTCTTCATTCTTAAATTTAAAAGCATAAATTTACCCCTTTTCAGCTAAGAAATAGGCCCAGTCATTGCAGCTATTTGCTACCATGTGCGTTTCTCCACTTGCCTAAATCAACAGCACCTTGCATCCCAAGGTACCTTAAAAAGCTGAGGTGTGATCTGAAAAGGATCTCAGCCTCTGTACATCAATTTTCAAGCAACATTAAGTTCTACCAAATATACTTCTGGAGAATATTTGAAAAACATTTTATGAGCAGTTCCCATTAAAAATCCAAAAATAGGGGCAAAAGTGAAGGGACCGAAATGCAAAGAGGTAGAGACCACATCCAGGAAATTCCTACATGAGAGTTAAATGTTCAAGTGCAGAATGCAGACAGACAACTAATTCCCATCAACGTAGCATTAAATATTTAATTGCTATTAGTCCCTTTAACTTTTGGTCTGTATAGTTCTTGAAGGCTGAGGGACATTGAGAGTGTTAGAAGGGTGTTTTTGAGAAATGTTGAGGCTTTCAGAGAATTGTTTGGGGATCTTTTCCCTATTTCTGTAGTCTGAGGGAGTTTGTCCTCTGAAGGAGCTGAGAAGCATGCTTTTAAAATCTCAGTCACTTCATATATATGTATATTTTTTCAGAAATCACCTTTTATTATTTTGGCTAGGTATCAAAATCTAAAGAAAGGAATATTTCTTATCACACCTAACGTAGCCTTGTATAAAGT